AATCTATCATTGATACATTCTACACTTTTTCAGCCTGAGACAAATCTGTGCACTTGCAAGACTAGGGAGGAATAAGTCAATGTAGTGTTAATGAAGATTGTTATGAAAACCTTCAGAAATATCAATAGTTTATGGGCTGAAGTAATGACTGTAGTAACCAAACTGTAATTTCTTATTGTTCCTAGAGCATTCTGGGACTCTGACTGGGGAGTGTTCCAAGGCTAAAGTGACATCAAGGCTAGAGACTGGTGGGTAGGGAAAGAGAAACTGACAAAGAGGTTGGGAGTAGAAGGAACACAACATGGCTTTCATTCTGATTTGTGCTCTACAAGTTCTATGGAATCATTAACATTTGTCCCACTACCTGTGTAATCTATGCCTTAAAGACACAGCCTAAGACGCACAATTTGAAGAAGTAGCACAGAAAGTAAAGGTAAAATATGACCTCCTCTTCACCATGGAGAAGAAAGGGGTAAAAAAAAAAAAAGCAACAAAGTTTCCACTAAAAATTCATGACTGAGAACCAGGTCATAGAGTGCTGTCCTAGTGGCTGATGAAGAATGGGATAAAAGTGCTAAGCACAGTAGCCATCCAAGCACTTCAGAAGTCTGAACTGAGATGAAGAATTTTGTAGGGTCAAAAGTCATTCACATTTATACAGTAGTTGAGAGCTCTGAAAGCGAAATGAAATCTCTGAGACAAAGAGGGCAGAACCCCAAAGAAGACCTTGCTTTGGACATAGAAATGCACATGATTCTAAGGTTTCTCAAATGTTCGAGTAGCTGCTTAATTAATTTTACAGATACCAATAACATTCCTACAGGTAAATAGAAAAACTGAAAAGGCTGACACACTTGTCTAACAATGTGGTACAGATGAAGAAATCCATGCATTTCATTTGGAAGAGATGACTTCATTGATTACTGCCAAGTGCATAATAGCTTTGAATGAATTTGATTAAAGAGAAGGAAAAAGACAGTATGTAATTTAAAAACTAGAATGTTAGAGGATTTTTTTTTCTAGAAACACATAGAGAGAATAGATATTATTTAATTAGCTTCTTTTATTAACTGCTTATTGACAATGTCTGGAATGCTAAAAAACGAAATTAAATACATTCCAAATCCACCTCAACTCTCCAAATGGATTAATTGCAGAAAACATACAGTATTGTGCCTTGATACCTTTGATTGACAATTAAGGACTGACTACAGCTCTAAATAAGAAACATTCAGAATGGAAACCAATTTATTTTCCCATTATTTCGGTTGCATAATTTTTCTCACATGAAAACATTAAGAAACTCTTTTCCCCTTTGGATCTGTGCTAACTATCAATTGTAAAGTGCCAATTTGCAAATAGGAACATCTATCTGTAAAACATCAGAGCAGCCCTACCTGACATAAAGAAAATCTCCTTCATATATAAGCATGCATCTGGATAGTAGAGACTTTCTCAAATTTTTAGTCTGTGGGAGTCACTTTCCTGGTTATGTGCTAATGTAGGATCAATAAATGCTTGCCAGTTACATCCTACCCTCTTTGCTCCCACTAGCTGCCTGACTTTTCTGACTTATAGTGGCCCAGGTTTGGAGCCAGGGTAGACAGGCTGTTAAAATAGAAAGTGGATATTTAAAATTATTATTATATTATTATATTCCTGGGCAAGATTGGGAAGCAGACCAAGTTTTTCTTCGGCACCTCTGCTTCTCTGTGCCTACTCCTTCCCCGCCAATCCTCCAAAGGACTAGGTTTCTCAAGTCGTAGAGGAAAGTGGCTAAAATAATTTATTCATAGTATCCAGGGACACATATTCCAAAAGGACACTCACAAAAGAATGATTCTTTAATAATGAGATTTCAAACATCAGCAGGGGAGATATTTTGAGGGCTGAGGTTTCTTCCCTGCACCTTCTGAATTCTACCCTAGGTGAATGCCTATCTTATGGCACATAAAGATGACTACAACTAATATCACCAGCATGACACACTACCAGATTCCTTCCAGCCTGTAGAATGAGGGGAAAGTGTGCAAGTATTCATCATTAAGATGCTATGCTATTATTATACAAATCATTTTGTAACAAGCACCCAGTCTCCCTGCCTCTTTTTTTGAACAATGAAAACATTACTTTCTATCAACTGGATAAAATAATACAAATTGATTCTATTTGGGCACTTTCTTCTCATTTGCAAATTGATGTGCCAAGGCTAATAACATTTATGGCTTGGCTTCTCTGCCAATTTACAAACAGTTATACCATTCAACAATCAGGTCATGGAGTACAATGGAAAACACAATGGTATGTAAATGAGAGGACCTGGGTTCAAATCCTGCCTCTGACTTTTACTGCACGTATGATCTTGGGCAAGTCATTTAACTTCCCTTGACCACAAGTTCTATCTCTGAAAATGGTGGTGGGGAGAGGGGGCTGGCCTAATTGTCTCAGGTACCTCATAGTTCTAGATCTGTTCCGGGAAATGTATTATTCACTGGGAACACAATGACAAAAATGAATACAGTCTTACTGTTATGGAAATTTTTTTCTACTTTAAAAAATATCATTTCTCCACAAACAGAACGTAACACTGGCACATAAAAATTAATGCACAAAATTTAGGAAAAGACTGTTTATAGTATATCTTGCTATTCATAGATATCCTAGGAGGTTATTCTTCAGCTCAATTTAACATTTCAACTTAATTAAAGAATATAATTACAACCAAACTGTTATTCCACAGATTCAGTTATCAGCCAAACTAGAAACTACAAGACATAAACTATATTCAGTAAATAAACCTTTATATAGCATCCTATTAAGTGTAGAGAAACACCTACATGCTTTAACATTTGGTTTTTTAACAATTAGTCTATTTAATAACACAAACTTTCATAAAATCCAAGAATATATTCCTTGCTACTGAAATAATATTCCTCAACAATCCCTACACTAACACATAATTAAAATAAAAATTATTCACATAGAACCTGAGAACATATTCCTCAGACCCTAATTAGTTTGTTAAAACTCTCACTTTCCCTGTACCCATAAAAGAAAATTTACAAAAAGTCAGAAAAACACACTGCTGGATATACTAATCAGAAAACATCCCTTGGTACAAATTGACTGACCTTAAACCTTAAAGAAACAAAAAATAATTTCCCCAAAACCCCATAAAAATTATGTTGAAATATAAATAATTAAGTTGCAAATCCCCCCAGACATTTGAAGACAATGTACTCCCCCCCATATTTTATCACACTATATATATAGATATATATAGATATGGATATATCTATATATATCTATCTCATATTCAGAAATTATTTTTGGGGGGTAATTTTCACATTATTCATCTTCCCATGTGGCTTCTGATCAGCTCATTTTAAATTAGATCAAGCTCATATCATTAGACCTCCACTGTCTTTTTAAACCATATTCAAGTGTAGGTAGTAGGAATTTTAAATATCTTTTCCATTTTTTTTTATCCCAAGGAAAATCAGTAAACTTCTCTTATCAGCAACAAACCAAGGAAAGTCCCTCGCCCAGGATATTTTTTTTCAAAAGTAGACAATAAAGTGCTTCTTCAGATTTCCAACCTAAATACAATTAAAAAGGAACCAATTATCATTGTGTTATTTTTATTATTATTCCTTTTAAGCTTCAGTTGTTCTCTCTCTCACTGTTTATCTCTATTTCTCTCCCTGCCCCCACCTTTTTTCTCTGTCTCTGTCTCTTCCCCTCCATTCCCCTGCCTCTCGTAGAATTAGATATAGCTGAATAATAACTAAGTCAATGTGCAGCCTTGCTCACGGTTCTCAAGCTGTGTAGCTCCCACTAACATTAATGACTCACACAACGTATCTCAAAATACGCCACAATGAATCCATTTAGCATCAGACAAAAATCACAGACATAACAGCTGTTAAGAACCAGAGGACACAGAACCCAGCCATCAAACAAGGAGTCCCTGGAGAGCACAGTCCTTCCCTATACACAGAGGATAGGAGCTATTAATTTACTCTTAGTAAATAAAAAGAATATATCTATGAACCTGTGCATTGTTTTTTAAACTAATGCCTGGGGAAAAACAAAATCTCCATCTTCTTCTTTTTGGTGGGGGAGGGGAGTGGGAGAATGGAGTTGATGTAAATGGAGATAAGAGAAGAGGGAAATTGGAAAGCCAACCAGAAATCACTATTGGAATGTTAAACAGTATTTTCTGAAGCATGATGCTTTGGTTGGCGGTAAAGTAACTATGAAAAAGAAAGCCTAGTGGGTGATACAGAAATTCTTTAGGAAACTGGCAATGAACCCTTCAAAATTATTATTATCATTAATATTGATTATGATGCCAAAAAATGTGAATCATGCCCTTAGATTGAGCTGTTGTCAATTTCTTTGGCATAAATGCTTCACAGTGATATCTGAAACAGAGATAAGTAAGGTAAAGAGAAAAAGTGGACGTTTGAAAACCTATCAAAGCTTTCCAAGCTTACTTTAAAATAGTAAAGAAAGGGATAAAGTTTAGTGGATAGGTAATCTCATGGAATTCTGATATTCAACAAGTTACCCTTTACAAGTATCATAACCACTCTTGGGACATCCAAGACAGTATTTTCCTTAGCACATGAAAGCTACAGGAGAGTATTTCCTATTGGCCAGGTAAGAAAATCAATGAGAATTTCAGGTATGGTTCCAATTGCTTATAGAATGTTACTAGGGGATCTGTGATTGGATAAGTGTCTCCTCTACCTTATCTCAAAGCACAGTTTTCACCTGCTGCACATTTGAAGTCTGACAAAATACTCCCACGTTGTCTTCAATATGATGACTACTGCTTTGTTTAAAATCAGAAATGTATATCAGCTAGGATGATCTATAAAATGCTAAATTTGGATTGTGGAGATAGTTGAAATCTAAAGGAAATTAAAAGTTAAACTCACCAATTAATGAACTTACTACAGGGGTTAGAAAAAGAGAGATTAATGTTTTTTTACCTTCAGCTTTAAAGAGTTAAGTTTTTCCTCCCTGAGGTGCTCTCTTAACATTTCTCTATGGAGCCTCTCCTGTTCCATCGCAAATTCGCCAAGGGTGTATTGGCGCACACTGTTATGGCGGCTGGACATGCCCAACGTGCTTCCTCCTTGACTGGGAACACTGGTGAAACCTTGTCTCCTTGTGAAGTAGTAAACGGTAACGCAGCTAAAATGAACATTCTTTGTTCTCAGCCGCTTTTCTCGTTTCAGGATTGAGGAAGCTGCAATAGAAGGAAACAACTTGATGAAAACTTAAGAGTGACAAATATACATTAAAGGGAAAAAAATGACCATATATTTGTAGGTGAGATATTTGCAAAGTGCAACCCTTAAAGTTATATAAATGCTATTATTATTATTAATATTAAAAGTTTTATACTTTAAGATACATTTTTTTCCCTTCATGTCCAAGAGGAAACTAGCAATGATATATCTGAGATGAGGATGAAAGAGAGGAAAGCATCTCCCTGTCTTCTTGAAATTCTTCTCTAGCTACTCTCATCTATTTAGATAATAGTAGAAAAGAATTTTTTAAAATATTGCTCCAAAGATTTTCCAGTGGAGACAAATGGCCTTTATATCATTAGTACATATTAAATTCCCCTTCTCTCCAGTCTCCTGAATTTTAGCTTAATTAGGTTTTCTGATACAACCAATAGGATAATTTCAAAATGAGAATTTCCCCCCATTCTTTGAGAAATCAGAATTCCAAGAGTTTGCACAGTATTTAGGGAGAGTTGTTGACCTTAAACCACACTTTATTCAATACTATTCAGTTTAGGCACATCTGCCTTAAATGACTTCTTTCAAGCCTCAGCTCAAATCCTGCCTTTTGCAGGAAGCTTTTCTCATTTTCCCACCCCCCCACACACTCTGTCACAGGTAGTGCCCTCCAACTTCATGGGTTACCATCTATCCACCCATCCACCTACCCATCAATCCATCCATCCATCTACCCACCCATCCATCCATTCATCCATTCTCTCTCTTCCTTCCTACTGCCTCCTCTATATAACAGCAAACAACTGTGAACTATGATACACACACACACACACATACCATAGTACCCAGTTTTCGTGTATTTTCTCCCCCATTAAAATATGAGCTCTTTCAAGACAGGGACTGTGTTTTTGTTTTTCTTTGCATGCCCAGCACTTAGCACAGTGCCAGGTATGTGGTTCTTAATAAATACTCATTGACTGACAAAAACATGATTAAACCCTTATTTTTAAAGTCATTTCCAAACTGCTGCAATACTACATGCTAGTCAAATATTTTTTTCTACAAGCAAAATTCAAAAATATGACAATGATCAGTTAAATTATTTTCTTCTTTATTTATATTCTGAAAAATTTGACTAGCTCCAATCTCAATATTCAAGCAGTATTGATATTTAACTATACCATAAAGACAGCATGGCAGTTTGTACTCTGCATGCTGTTATACTAATAGCAATAGACAGTTATAGAAGAACTATGATCAATACAACTTTGTTTTGGGTTTTCCTTTATTTGTTATTTTTGGGACTACACTAAGTATAGCAGTAGTAAACCATTACAGGGCTTTATCACAGTTGAGGTTAGGAGAGAGAGCAGGGAAATTCCTGGAGCATCCCAGCACTTTTCTTTTCTGGATGGAAAGTTACAGGTAACATTTTACTAATCTTTTCTTATAATCTGAGAAGTAACAAAGATGATGAGTGGATCCATTGTAGGGATGGCAGGGGAAGGGTGAGTAGGATGATGGTTACTGACACGTCCTCTCCAATAGCTATGGGACACTTGTGACAATTACACTTATTTTTTTAATTAAATGTGATTTTAAAATATAAAAGAAATCTTAAAATTATCCTTGATGTTGAGGCCAGAAGACAGACTGATAGAATTCAGAGCCAGAGTCACTGCATGGGGAGTTTTAGGATAATGGAAAAAATTTGTCCTCCATAAACACGACTATAGTTAAATTATTTTAATAATATTTGAAGTTATTTTTAAATGTCTCTACAAAGTCTGAAATGCTACAATGATTCTGAAAAGTCCATGATACTTAATACCTATGAGTTTAACCCAAACTATGTCTATATAGTATGTTAGAACATAGCAGAGAAGCTAAAGATAATAGATTTCTTTCATAGATCTTGTTTATATAATTTACACTTTTCAAAAAATTTGAGACATGTAGCTAAAGTTCCCATAAGTGAGAGGCATACCATAAGAAGTCCTCTTTATTTATGTTTATATCCTTTCCAATGTCCCCTGGAACTTAGGGTTTTTTTTTTTTTTTGGAATGGGGAAAGAAGTTCCAATGGGTAGAAATTTTGGAGAATTAGATAATAATCTCTCATATTTATATTGTGCTTTACGGCTTGTCAGTCATTTTTATATATAATTTCAATTGATGAGATACCATCACAAGACAACCCTGAAAAAATCAGTCTCTGGAAGTAACAAACAAAATATCAAGCTGATCCTATGCACTTCTAGAAGATAAAAAGATTCTAAGTCTATACATATCTGTTAGGGGTTAAGATAAGATATGCAAAATAAGAACGAAATCTATTTCAGAACATAATATTTAATATGATGTAAAAGATAAATTTTGTGAGAAAAGACTGAAAAAAAACAACCCCCAGGACTCATTGCACTGTCTTATATTCCCTTATTTAAATGGCTTACTTTACCAGACCACATGTGCTTCTTCCTAGGACAACATACCTACATACAAAGAGGTATTTAACCAGTAATCACTTGGTCACTGAGTGATGAATTATTCAATTATGGTAACCTATGAAATGAATTAAATACAAAATAGACCTTAATCTTGTATATCTCTCTTATATTTTATCAGTGGCTCTTGTATAAAAGGGGGTGAAGGAAAATGGGAATAAATAATCGCAATTTTTAGACTGTTTGTAAACATTAAAGCTTGGCACTCCACATAAGAGATTTTTCTTTAATGACCAAAAAATTGTGACACCAAAAATGGGAACTGAACCATCAACCCAACCACATTTTTCTTATAAATGAAATTAGAAGATATAAGGAAGAAAAGATTAATAAATGATACAGTAGAATTGTTTCACTGTGGGCCTAAAAGTAATAAAGAACATTATTTCATTAGAATCCTGATCATCTCACCTTACAGGGTTAATGATAAATAAGCACAGGCAAAAGGCCCTCTAGATTCTTCACTTTGAGTATGACAGGGTCTCATTAATGAAATCAACAGAAAATCAAGAGTTCTAACAATTCACATGGGAAAAACCGAGTGGATGAAGAATGTCTATTGCCCAGGCAACAACATGAAAATAAATGGGCAACCCATTCAGTTAGTCCAAAAGTACATACATCTTGGCAGAGAACTGGAGTTTATGTACCATCATCTTCTATTAAAGATGATATATAGCAATTCACTAAAGAACGTGAAAAGATCCCTCAAACAAAGTCAACGTACATCTTGATACTTAGTGATTTAAACGAGAGGATAAGCATAGGAGAAAAAATACATTGGAAAAACTCCTTAAGAAAAAAAAAAAAAGAAACCAAAGGACAGACTACTACTCAGAACCTTATACCTGTATAAAGATTCACATGTCACCAGATATGGCAAAGAAGAAATATCACCTGAGAATGAAGTTAACTATATCTTATCAGAGCTTGGTTACTGACTTAGCAGTCAGTTGTTTGTGTGCAGTCAGACAACTGACAACTTAAGAGCAGAGAGCAAAATGAACATGAATTTTAAAGAAAGAATAAATTTGAGAAGATACTATGTATACTTATGATTCCAATCTCACCTATTAAAACAAGCTATTGATGCAAAAGAATTGCAGGGAGAGGAGTGTAGCTAAGTGGTACAGTGGATAGAGCACTGGTCTAGGAGTCAGGAGGACCAGAATTCAAATTCAACCGTAGGCGCTTACTAGCCATGTGATCCTGTGCAAGTCACTTAACCCCAATTGCTTAAAAAAAAATACAAGAGGGGGAAGTTGGGAAGGGATGACAACAAAGATACTAGTTTTGACTGTCACCATTTCTTATAGTAATTTTAGCTAGTATAATGACCACAATGAAGTAGCAAATAGAAAAAATGAATCTTTAGAAGGCTTAGCATTAGACTCAACTAAGATTATACAAAGAGAATGTACAGAAGAAAGTAGAATGAGGATGATTAAGAAATAGAAAATGGAAAGGATTTCCATGTGTCTCTGTAGCAAATTACTTCAAATGTTAATTGCAATGGAATTACTATTTAAAAAAATTAAATTAATATTTTTGGAACTATCCTATTTGACTATACTACTTCTGTAGCTGATGTGCTACAAAAGAAAGTAGGAATGACACTTAGGAAGATATAGTAGGGGAGAGTGTCTGGACTAGACCAAGCACCTACTGAAGAAATTTGTGCTGGAGGTAACACGATTTTGAAAGTATAGGATGATTGAATTATAGTTGGGAGGAAAAATTAAAATGTAAATAAAGGCAGTATAATACAGGAGAAAGAGCACTGCATTTCAAGGCAGGGAACAGGTTCAAATTCTGCTTTTGTAACCCAGATGATGCCATGGACAAGTTATAGGCCAAAATTTACCCATTTGTAAAATGAGGAGGTTGTACCAAAAAGGCCTCCGAGATCCTTTATAGATGAAAATCTATGATCTTATGATCTATAGTATAATCCCAGGGTATTAAGAAAATTACAAAAATAATCATTGAGGGGAGAGGGATGAAAGGACATCAGTAACTACTGACCCAGATGCCTACTTTCTTTTAAAAAAATAAATTAGGGGCAGCTAGGTGGTGCAGTGGATAGAACACCAGCCCTGAAGTCAGGAGGACCTGAGTTCAAATCCGGCCTCAGACCAAACACTTGACACTTACCAGCTGTGTGACCCTGGGCAAGTCACTTAACCCCAACTGCCTAAAAATAAATTCAAATTTTCAAAGTTTTATTGATTTTTTTTTAATATTATAAACATTTACAGATCACCCCTGTCTGCTTCATCTGTAACATGGGCATAAAAGCATCTATTCTCACATGGTTATTGTGAGGATAAAATGAGATAATATTTCTAAACAGCACTGTAAACCTTAAAGCACTGCTATTATTATTATTAAAGTAAAAAAATTAAGTAAAACTAATATCACCTCATCTGAAAGCACATATAACAATCTACATATGTAGCACCCCCTCACTTCTCTATTTTTTAACTAATAGAAAT